GGGTATTGCTACCCATTTTGTTATAAATCATATGCTAGATGTGTGAACTTACAAGTTATTCCATGTCAAGGAACCCATGGCTATTCTTTGGTAATTTTTTTTAGTTCTTGATAATTTTGGAACTATGATAATGATCATTTATTTCAGAACTGAAGTACAGAGAATGTGTGTTTGTGTTTGTAAACCAGACACCTGCAATTAAATTTGACCTGTGGACTTAATTTATTTGGTTACTCATAGTGTATTAAAACATATGCATTCTAGATTTCAACTTCTGGCCTTTGATACCAGATTATTCAACTTCCACCCCATAATATCTAAGAAACAAAACCATAAGTGCACAAAGAGATTTGGATAAGAATTTTCACAGATAATTTGTTCATAGGAGGTTCAAACCACAAACAACCCAAATGTCTACTAGTAAGAGGATAAATAGACAATTTGTGATATAGTCATACCCTCTCTGAGCACCACCACCCCCAAAAAATTGGCCAATAAAGAGAGAAGGAAGTTAACCAACGTAGATGAACATCAAGAAAAACCCATAATGTTATGTAAAAGTTTCTTCAATAATCGAAAGACTAACAAGATCAAAAAAAGGGGGAAAAGTAACAATACAGAAGACTTGTACAACACGGTCAACTAATTTGACTTAACTGATATTTCTAGACAAGATAGCCTCAAATTGTATAATACACATCCTTCTAATGTTCCCATGAAACATTCTCAAAAATAGTCAACATGTAGAAACTAGGGGCCAAAAAAGTGTCAATAAACTTAGAAGGATCAAAATCATACAGATTATGTGCTTTGATTTACCTCTGTTGTTGATTTTATTTTATTATATGAATTTAAATGAAATTATAAAATACTACATATTATCAAGACTGAAACACAAATTCAATTCTACAGTTCAAATAATTTTTCACTTATAATATTACTAATATGTTGTAAAAAAATCACCAAACATGTGTAAATTAAGTACATAACTATCATAAACCACGAACTAAAAAAACAAAAACAAAAACTATTTTGAACTTAATGACACTGAAAACCCAAGTTTCAAAATTTGTTGGATACTGGTTAAGTTTTTAAGAGTTAAAGGGAAAAGTATTGACAAGAAAGAGTACATTGGGTACATTGGTTATGTACCCAATCCTGCAAAAACTCTGATCTTTGAGACCAGATACAGGCTGAACTTGTGTGGAAGAGGAGTCAGAGTATACACCCAACAAACATAGATTTGGCAGAGGATATCTTTATATATGTATTTAACTTTGCCACAACTATATTCATGAAAATGGTGGAGCATATAGGGGGGAATGTTATGATCATTTCTTAGCCTTAGCTTTAACCAAACACCTTGACTGAATAAGTCTCTGAACCTGGAGTCTCAGGACCATAGCCTCAAAGAACACCAAGATCAGTAGGTATATAACCTAGTCCAAAAAGACAATGCTTTTCATCCTGCTTCAGTGAGTCGCACCTGGGAAATTAAAAGCTTGTGAATGGTCATCTAATAAGCAACTATTACCATCATCTAAGAAGGTCCTGAATAAGTTGGGAATAAATATCAACAAAATTCAAAATTACAAAAGACAGCAAGCTTTTTTGCCAGATAGTGGCTGGTAGAATCCCCGGGATTGTTGCCTTTAATCACCCTTCGGGTCTTAAAGTGAACTCACTCTTGTAGCTCAATTTTAACTTCAGATGACAGGAAAATATGAACAATTAAAATAGAAAACAAGCAAAAATTAGAACATAATAAAGGTATCAGTAAAATAAATGAAATTAAAATGAATAAACAATTAAAAAAATCAATGTAAATGAATCTAAATTTGAATTCATATAAATTATAAACCCCCAGTTTGAATGACCAAATCGGAAAGAGAGAGAGAATTATCACCATTAGAAATGAAAGTGGGAGCATCGCCACAAGTTCTGAAAATAATAAAATATAATATGCAAATAATATTTAAAAACGGACTGCTAGTCATGTGACAAATTAGAAATGGAAAATAATCCTTAAAAGACAAATTCACAAAACAGACACAAGAAGAATCAGATAATCTGAGTAAAAATTAAACACACAGAGCTCACAAAATAAAAGTTTTTTCATAAAGAAAATGTCACAACCAAGTAGTTACAAGAGCAAGTTCTTTATAAAAAATTGAGACCGCAATCATCCCTGTTTTACATATACACTTGCAAGTCATCTAAGTAAGTATCATTTTCCAAATTATATAATGAAGCCAGCAAAGGCCTGACAACTGGCAGGGCATTACAAAAAAAGATGACCTCTCTCATGAATGTGAATGTAAAATTCCATAACAAAACATTTGAACATCAGTAGATCATGAATATCTGGGGTTATTCCAGGAATGCAGGATTGGATTGGCATTTCCAAATTCATCATACTAATAGAATAAAAGAGAAAAATATCCTATGATTTTCTCAATAGAAGAATTTGACAAAATGAAACATAGGCTAATTTTTTTAAATCCTCTCAGAAAATTTAAAATCGATTAACATCTCACTCAGACAAATCTAATCTTCACAATATCTACAGTTTACATTATTCTTTATATGAAAAGACAAAATCATTTTTGCCCTCTCAGACGGGGAATGCTGCTTTCATAGCTCTTACACATCACTGAACCGGAGGTCCTAGGCAGTGAAATTGGCAGTAAAAGAAATCAAAGTTGTAAAGATCTCTGCATTTAATGCAATCCCAATCAAAATGCAACAGGTTTTTATGTAGAAATTGATACAGTTGAAAATAGAGTCTATATGAAAATATACACGGGCTTAGAATAGTCAAAAATCAATCTCAGAAATAAAAAAAGTATAAAGACATATACTACCTGATCTAATGACAATGTAAAAGTAAATTAATCTAGACAATGTGGTACTATCCTAAAGACAGATGGATGGGAATAGAATAAATAATCTAGAAATGAACCTACAGTCATTGAGTCAATATATTTTTACCAGGTTATCAAAATGTTGGTGCTGTAGGCATGGTTGTGTTGGTTCTGCCTCAGTGACCCTGTGTACCACAGAATAAAACCATGTCTGGTTTGTACCATCCTCACACTTATCGCTGCATTGGAAGCCACTACACCAATCCATGTCTTTGACGATGTTCCTTTTGTTCACTGACCCTCTCCTGCACCAGGCATGTCCTTTCGTACAGAATGTTTATAGATTTTTATGTTGTGTTTTAAATTCAAGTTTATGATGCCTTTAAAATATCACTGGTATGATGTGAGGTCATTTCTATTATTAAAATTCCCATTGTGTTTATTCCAACGAATAACAACCCAATGGGACAAAACCGAACTGTTCTCTAGTTTCCAAGATTGTAAATCTTATGGAAGCAGACAGCTTCATCATTCTCCCTTTGTGCTACTAATGGATTTGAACCGGCTCCATTAGGTGGAACAACCTTATGCTTAACCTATCATGCCACCAGGGAATACTATTATCAAACTAGCCCAACAAAAACGAAACAATTTTTTTTATCATGATATTGGAATTAGATTTCTTTCTTCTCCTTGTTCATCTATGTGTTTTAATGCTCTATCAGACTCGATGATTCTAAATGATCCAACTGTATGTGTGATGATGTCATTATTTTTCTCTAGAATGTTAAAAACAAGTTTTGAAGTATTTCATTACTTGGAGTTCTGTTTTAGGTATCATCCAAAGAGAATTTTCAGACACTACCTTTCAAAATCAATAGCTCAAATAATAATGTTTTTATTTATTTTTGAAAATTATGGTAATATCAACCTATTTATTTTTTACTTAACAAGAAATTCACTATTCTAGAAAATTGCTTTATTTTTCCATGTCCACTTCCATTTTATAACCATATAAAATAATTTTTATATCATGTCTAACCATAGTTTAGCTTATTTTTAGTAATTGTGGCGATTGGTATATTATATATTCTTCAATATGAATATTGAGTTTTACATATGATAATTTAAAATTACCTTTTTCGAGGGAACAAACATTTTATATTTTAATAATTTGCATATAATTAGAGGGTTGTTATTTCTATGCTGATGGGTATATAACTCTTTTACTGTTAAATTATTTGTTCAGGAAAGAGTCCAATAGTCTTACATCATATGGTATGATCATCTTTATGACTCTTGAACACTGCCATCAATTATTTTAAATGGGTCTTTACAATTCACCAGCACTATTATGAGTCCACTAGTTTTATTACATCCTTACTAGCTTTAAATATTTCCTCTATTGTTTATTTTTTTTAATTATCTGGTATAAAATTATGTCTCACTATCATGATCATAAGTTTTTTTTCAGTTACACTGGTGATTGAAAGTACTAGGAGCATTAAAACTATCGGAAGCAGATATGCACTGAGATCTTTATATAGATGGAATACGCTCTCAGATCTTAGGCTGAGTGCTGGAGCTCTCTCGTTCTCAACCTTTTCCTTGTTCACCACCAGGTCACCTTTGGAGCTCACAGTCTCCTCTAGAATAAGTTACCTTTCTGTTTAACCGAAGCTGTTCTGTTAGCCTCCCCTTTGTCATTTCTGGCATGACAGACATAGCTCCGCTTCAAGTCTTCTGGGGTAAGTTTCTTGATTCTTAAAGTGTGAATTTTGGTTTCATCTTCCGTTTTAGAACGACTTATACTAGAAATCAGGGAAAGAAAATCAAAATATTAGTAAAGACACCCCATGCTCGGAATGTGAATCAAAAAAGTAGGTGCCCACAGACAGGGCCCTTAGGTGAGGGCAGATGGAATACTGAGCAGTTGTACTGCCTGTGCCACAGTAGACACTTCCGGATTTCATTACTTCTCCTTGACCTTTGTATTATGGGTTATCTCAGTGTCTTGATCAGATCCCATCCTTTGGATCAGAATCTAGATTTCTATCAAAAGCACAAGACTTTCATTTCTCAACACTTCTGAGATGGGATGCAGTACCAGATTAGAGAGTAGTGTCTGGCATAAGACCCAGTTGGTTTTGGACCCAGACTGTCCTATGTACTAGCCATGTACTTTGGGTAAATTATTAATTCTTCCTATGCTTTAGGATTTTCCTTTTTTAAAAAGAGGAATGTAGCAATGCCAAGTAAATTAAGTGTATTGATTTGCTAAGGAATTTGGTGATCATGTACACTACTTTGTAAAATATTAGATCAATGTAATGTTTTACTTTTTTAGCCACTGAACTTGCTAAAAATTAAAATCATATAGGTTATTATTATCAATATCCCATCCTCTTTTTTTTTCCTTTTTGTGCTTTTTTTTCTTTACAAATCATTTTATTGGGGGCTTTTACAGCTCTTATAACAATCCATACATCAATTCTATCAAGGACATTTGTACATATGTTGCTATCATCATTTGCAAAACATTTTCTTTCTACTTGAGCCTTTGGCATCAGCTCCTCTTTTTTCCCTCTCTCCCTCATCCTCCCACTCTTGTTACCCCTTGATAAATTATACATCATTATTATTTTATCCTATCCTCTTAATCATAGCCACAGTTAATGTATTTCATTGATTCCCAAAGTTGGATTCAGAGCACAGGTAAAACACTTCCTTCAAAATTCTCAAATCTCATGGTTACCTCTTAGTATATAAAAAGAGAAAACTGCTCAGCAAGTGTATTTTATGAAAATAAATACACCGAAAGATCAGCGAGCCAAAGATCGGGTGCTTTGGGTTTACGAACATCTTAACCACATTGAATTACTTTGCTCAATAGGGGAAATAAATAATTTTAGAATTTCTCCAAGAGTTGACTGACTGCATTCCAGGTCCTCCTTCTGATAAGGCTTGCTGTTGATTATGAGAAGTTGGTTCAGGAATATGATTGGTTTAACCTCAGCTTAACTCTATAGCCTTTTCATAACCCAGAGGAAGTATGACCATTTTCTGAGATAAGAATGCTATGTATTAATTCTCTCCTTTGATGGACCCATTTTCTTTTTGATTTAGTACAGATAAAGGCTGTGTTTCAATAATCTCAAGAAGGACCAGCATGACTTCCATAATTGTGATGAGGATTGGATGCACAAAGTTCAGCCTTCCTGAAATGATCAATAACTCTGCCTTCCCTCCAGTCATGGTTTTTAGCAATTCCTATTGCAAATATCGCTCCAATTTCAGGAAATTTCCTCTGTGCCTCTGAAGGTGCCCTGCTGCTTTGACATCCATGCCTTGGTACATGATAGTTCATGTACCAAGGATCTTCTTTCCATTTGATCTAGCGAATATCTGCTCACCCTTCAAATATAGATTTAATTATTATCATGTGAGAGACATTATTCTCCTAAAATCATAAAACTTGACACTTCTCTCACTACACTTATCACATTATATGAATGTGTCTTTATATATATAAATGCTACCTACTTAAGGCCTAGAAGGTGGGGTGGGAAGCCAAGGGTTATGTACTTAAATACGAGCTGAAAGGCTCAAAAGTGCAAGGTGAACCCACCCACAGATGCCTGGGAAGACAGACCAGGTGTTCTACTTCCAAGAGGTCCCAGCCTTGAAAACTCTGCAGCGTTCTAGTCTCTGTTCATAAGATGGGGTCACCATACATTGCCAACTGGCTCCATGGCAGCTAACAGTAACATTTAGGGATTAAAAACCTTGCACAGTACCTGATGCAAAATCAGTCTTTTATAGTGACTGCATGAAGTTTGAGTTTACTTCGAGGAAAATCATATGTGTTGGCTTTGAAAAGTTCAAACAAGTAAGTAATACCCTTTAAGGTTTGGGACAACTCTGTCATATAGTTGATGGGCTTCTAATTTTTATTAATTGTTGCAGTGAACCAAATTGTTCTTTGGAAAGTGTGTGCTTCATTTCTTTTACTTCATCATCTACCATATATACTCATGCTTAAGCCAAGTTTGGGGGCACATTTTTATAGAGATTTTGTGGTAAAATTAGGTGCCTTGGCTGATATTTGGTCGGCTTATCCTCGATATTATATGGTACTTTCTTCTGCTTCATAATCTTTCTTCTACTCTTGTATACTTTGCTCCAGTGCAACCTCCTTCAGAGATTAAGAATTAAAAAACAAACAAGCCTGGTAATATTTAGGACTAAACAGAGCTAGGGCTATTATTTTAAGAGTGAGCTATACTACTATTCATCATCTTTTTAATTTTTTTAACTTCATTTTTAACAGTTTTATTGGCCCTTCATCCACATAACACAATTCAATAGTTCAATCATATCAAGAAGAGCTATATAATCATCACCACAGTTTTACATTTTCTATTTTTTATATTTAAATCACTTTTAAAATAAGTTGTGTAATCACCATCAATTTTAGTGCTCCCACCCACCTCCCACATACATTGTTTGCTCCCCCAACCCACCCACCTCCCCTATAAATCCTTGTATCAGTTCGTATCTCTATGCATCTTTTCCTTCTGTGCTTCACAAACTGGAAAACCCAACAGAAACCATAAAAAATAGAAACATCACCCTGGATACCGTAGGCTTGAGGAGGACTCTATCGAAGTACAGTTCTACCAAGAATAAAATTTAAAGGTCATACAAGTGGTTAACCAATATTAACAAACTTAATTTAAAATGTGATATATATACTACATCAATTAAAAGGAAGAATATAGATACAAATTATCACCCCCAAATAAGAAACTAATAATATCTGAGGCACAAACACAGGGTGCCAAACTCTTCAACAGAGAAAATGAAGACAGGCTCATCAACAGCGTTCATATATTCACAGCTCTATAATTGTAACATTTTATACATATGGGATTTTCATTTCCTATATGTAATATCAGCCCTGGTGGCACAGTGGTTTACTAGTTGGCCTGCTAACTGAAAGGCCAACAGTTTGAATCCACCAGTCACCCTGTGGGAAAACAATGAGACTTCCTCCTCCCATGAAGATTCATACTCTTTGAAAGCCATGGGGACAGTTTTACTCCATCTTACCGTGTCACTATAGTTTTGGGTGATTTATATGTGGTATCATAGCATACACAAGGTATCATGAATGAGTGAATTGTGCCAGGCTTATGACAGTAGGGACTCCAGCTAGAGCTTGGTAAAGATGCACAGCCTAAATCAAAATCCAAACTCACTGCTCTTGAGTAGCTTACAAGTCAGAGAGACCCTACAGGATAGAACAAAACTGCCCCATAGGGTTTTCAGTGCTGTAAATCTTAACAGAAATGGTTGCTACATCTTGCTCCTGATAGAGCATTTGGTGGGTTCGAACTGCTAATCCAGTGGCGTGAACTATTTTGCTGATTTTAGTTAATAATAGGCAAGAATTGGAATTCTTTTATTCATTGACAAATAGATATCAAAGTACATTGCATCGATGGACAAGGATTAGTGACCCCCTACCCTATCCCATGATACCTTTCATTGACCATTATGTCTCCATTGAAGTCATCAACCTTTTTCCCATCGATGGTCCACCAAAGTTCATTGCGAGAGCCCTTCAGGAAAGTGAAAAAGACTTCGCAGGGAATGAGGAGCTCCTCTCCTAGAAAACAAATGAACCAAGGGTGTGCGTCCAACGGTCCATTACCTTCATCTGGCCCTACTGGATCGACTCCCTCCCATACAGCTGGGAGGAGTCAGAACCATTATCTTTCATTTCATTTTTCACAAACAACTTGAACCCCCCTCATAAATTCTAAAATGACAATGTCACTGTTAGCCCTAAACCTCCTTAGTTTGCCCTTCTCCTTTGAAATGCCCCTGTCCAACACAGTGAGACCAAGGAACGGTTCTCCGATCTTTGGTTCTTGGTTCAGGGAAGAAGTCAGACTGACGTCACTGAAAGCACACACAAAGCACATCTCGCTCGAAGTGCAAAAGCTTCAAGTCGTTGCTTTTTTTTTTTTTTTTTACAATAATCCTCCATCCTTTTATGTTAGCTCATGTTTTATTCCTTATAATTAAGAGGAGTCTAGCTAAAATTCAATGTCAACATGGGTGTAATTACCTGGTTCTTTCTCATAGATAATAATATCATTGGGTGAACGGATCTGAGGCGGTGTTGCATCTATTGGAGAGCCTTGATAGAGAGAAAAGAAAAGATGATAAATGATGTACCTTTTATCCACCACGACACTTTTCAAAAATCGGCTGTTCTGTGAAGTCTTTCCCCAAATTTCCTTTCAGAGTTCATCAATTTTCTTGAGACCTCACTTGTCCTCAATTATACCACTTAACTCATTTAAAACCAATAAAGGGCCAGGTTATATTGCATACACGCCATGTTTCAAGATAAAATGTCTAACTATGTTCATGTTCTTCAAAGTTGCTCGTACTATATAATAAGCAATTGCTTTCATGCATTGTGCATTGCTTCATATATATGTAATTTAGATGTGTGTGTGCATGAATGTGTATTTCCCCCCCTTCTTCCACATGCTCAAAGTGTAGTATGTGACCTGGTTATATAAGTAAGTCTGGAATGACTGGATACATGAATGTAAAATTCAAAAAACTCAGTTTTGAGTTCGTGTCAGCATGTCTAGTGTTTAGTCAGTAGTTGGATGCTCAAACATGGGATGGCTGTTCTCGATAACATCCCATCATCCTAAACTGCAATGAAATAACATGAAGGGGCTTTTCAAGAGAGTGTTTAAGAATATGCAATTCAAAAGTTTAATGCACAGGGTTATAGAAAACCCAGATTTGGCACATACTAAATATATGACACTGGTTCCTAATTAGTCCTTAAATAGCCCATTCCCCCCCATTTTTTTGTCACCGTAAAGTTGAAATCAAGCAATGTATATAGACATCCACTAGTAATGCATATGGAGTACTCAGTAATATGCAGCTTTTACTGAATTCATTTTGGTCCCTTAAATGAAAAAAAGAAAAAACTTGGCCTGTCAATTTTTATATCTTAATTAGGATAAAAATTTATGCTTTTTTCCAACTTTCTAAAGTAAACACTAATAGATTGTGAGTGGATGTGTGTGCAATTAGAACATAGATTATTTGATATAAAACAACTGCCAAAACAAATGACAGTTGGATTATTCATTTTACTTGAAAATTCTATTCAAGCTAAATTATAAATTCTTTTTTTTCTCTTTAGAATTTATCCCCAACTCAACATTATTCAATTCTACCTAAAAGCAAACAGAAATAATTGATTACAAAATTGCTAGATTGAATTGTATGTGTGATAAAGCAGTTTTGTTATGTAAGCTGAAAATGGTGTCAGAATAGTAAAAATAAGCTTTCAATCGAGGGTCCCAAACCTGGAATGTAGCATTACCAGACTTCTTCCACTAAGTGCTTCTAAACAAATGGCTTCCCGACTCTGTGCCTCAATGTTCTCCTCTCATAAAAGGTCAGAACCAAAACCGAACTCAGTGGCACGGAGTCAATTCTGACGCACTGTGACCCTTTAGAACTGAGTAGAACTGCCCTCTGGGTTTCTAGATTGTAACTCTTTATGGGAGTAGAAAGCCTCATCTCTCTCCCTTAGGGGTTTGACTTTGTAGTTAGCAGCCGAATGCATAACCAACCAAGGTACTAGGGTTACTAAAAGTTAGGGTGTGATAAAACTTCTAAGGTATATTCTCTCACTCTGACACCCTTATTCTGATGTTCATTTTAAGAGGATGGGCATTAAACTTGGGGCTGATCCTTAAATGCCACCTATCCTGAGATCAGGTCTGTTGATTGCCAGAAGCACTTTCCCTCTGTTTAGGTATTGCCTTCTCTGCTCTCCTGGTTTCCAAAACTTTTCTTAGCACAAAACAGTGGTTGAACACTGCCAATAAACACTTCAGCATTAACTATCAAACTCTTAGTAGATAGAAAGATGCAGTTTATCCACGCGAAACACCTTTTGACAATAACATCAGTGCTTGCTTGGAATGGACCTACGCACTATTTGTATACTACTTTTAAGATTGACAACTATCCTGAAAGTTAGGTGTACCTAAGGACACTGAGACATTGTTCAAAATCATGTTAATGAATAACAGCAGTGAGCTAATGTTAACACAGTCAACCCTGGTTCTCTCTTTATTTCCTAAATGGCCTTTCGTCATCCACTCACACATCCATTGAGTCAATCACTAATCATTAGATGTTTACTTGGAATTGCTAAAGACTATGGATAATGCTATAAACAAAAAGAAATACCCATTTTTCTTATAGATTTTCTCAACTTGTATGTAATAAATTATCATGAGCCCAAACACTCTTAGGTCATTTTTATTATGTGCACTTAGGAAAAATCATGCTTACCTACCACCGTTACAGTTAGAGTTCTAGTCAGATGGAAGATCCTCCCATTTTCTGGATATGTGACAACACATGTGTAATTACCATTAACTGAAATAACGGCATACGTAAAGCTCAAATTTATGTCTTCAGGTTTTACAAAGGAAAAGCCTTGTATCTTTGAACAGTCCTGGAAGAAGTAAAATAAATGATATTTAGTATTTATATACATGCATGCAAAATATATAAATATACATGCAAACTCATATCTAATTTTGCACAGAACAGTCAAATGTCAATGCCGTACTTTATATAAAACTATTATAATCAAAGAGAGGAACCCTTGTGATGTATTGGATTATGCAAAGGGTTGTTAACCGAAAGGTCACTAGTTCAAAACCACCAGTTGCTCTGTAGTAGAAAGATGAAGCTTCCTAATCTGTTAAAGATTTACTGTCTCAGAAACCCATAGGGTAACGCTATTCTGTCCTATAAGGTCACTATTAGTTGGAATCAAGTTGATGGAAGTGAGAGTTTTAATTTTGATCAAGTATTTTATATTGTCTAGGCAAATAATTATTAGAACAAGTGTATTATCTTTTCTGCAAAAGGAAACCTTACAATTTGGATTTGTGATATGAATTCAGCAATCCAGACAGCTTATCACAGGACCCAGCATTTAAATTCTGAGAAGTCCATTGTGAGAGTGAAACAAACAAACAAACAAACAAAAAACAAACTCAATGCAGTCAAGTCGATGATGACTCATAGTGACGTTATAGGACAAGGTAGAACTGCCTCTGTGGGGCTCTGAGACTCTAGCTGTTTACGGGAGTAGAAAGCCCCATAGTTTCCCTATGGAGCAGCTAGTGGTCTCAAACTGCAGACTGCAAATTGCAGCCCCATGCATAACCACTATACCACCAGAGTTCCCTATGGGAGTGAAGCAAGGTGAAGATTTTGAAATATTGACTAAGGAAACGGGAAACCCTCCATGTCCTACTCTTTATTCAACCTGTATGTTGAGCAAAGATTTAGATAACTTGGACTACATGAGGAAGGACTTGACATCAGGATCGGAGCAAGGCTTATTAACAATCTGTGATATGCAGATGGCAATCTTGCTTGCTGAAATGGAGGGACTTGAAGCACTTGCAAGTGAAGACCAAGGATTATAACCTTCACCGTGGACTGCAACACAATGTAAAGGAAACAAAACTCCTCACAGCTAGACCACTGGGTGACATCATCATCAATGGAGAAGAGACTGAAGTTGTTGAGGATTTCATCTTGCTGGCTCCACAATCAGTGCCCTGGGAGCAGCAGCCAAGGGATCAAAGGCTGCTGAGAACAGGGACACTGTGCTGTACAAGGAAGACCTCTTTAAAGTGTTGGAGAGCAAGGAGATCACTTTGGGACTGAGGTGCCCGTGACTTAAGTTTGGGTATTTATAATTGCCTCATGAGTTAGTTAGTTAGTTAGTTAGTTAGTTAGTTAGTTAGTTAGTTAGTTTTGCCAACCTGGCTGATATACACATGTGGGGTTAATTGAGAGGCGGAGGGATAAATGGCTCCGTAAGCCTCGCTTTTCGATTTCTCAGGTCTTTTGTTTTATGATGGTCGGACCAGGGTGCAGCTGCCTTAGTCATTTCCCTGCTTCAGCTGGCAAGGCTCACTTCCTGCAAGACATCCCTGAGGAGAAGCCACATGGACCTACCCTGAGGCAGCCCTGGGTGCTGGAGCAGCCGTGTGGAGCCCGCTGCCAGTGCTGAGATGCTTACATGTTCACTGACTGGGCTTTCCTCCTGCAGTCAGCATCATTGCATCTGTTTTGTGAGATGGAGGAGGACTTTGTGGATTGGTGTCGGACATATGGGTTAATGTGGGACGTGTGGGCTTGGGCAGCACTGGATTGGGATGTTTTCTTGATGCTCACTTAACTTTTATAACACTCTCTTCTACATGGGTTTCTGTGGATTTGTTTCTCTAAAGTACCCAGACGAATACACCTCATATGCATTATAAAGTGGGACATTAAGTAAGGAAGACCAAAGAACAATCGGCACATTGGAACTCTGGTGCTGGTGAAGAAGACTGAAAGTACCCAGGCCTGCCAAAAGAACAAACACGTCTGTCTGGAGGAAGGACAGACAGATGCACCTTAGCGGCAACTATGGGAAGACCTTAGTTCACGTGCTTTGCACATGTTATCAGGGGAGAATAGTCCCTGGCGAAGGATATCATTTTTAATAAAGTAGAGGGCAATGAAAACAATGGAGTGATACATGGCTGCAACATTGGGCTCAAACATAAGAATTATTGTGAAGATAGTGCAAGAGCAGGCACGTGTTTCATTCTGTTGTACCCAAAATTGCTATGAATGGAACCAACTCCATGACATCCAGCACAATAACTTTTTAGAAAAATAAATTTTATTTTTGTACATTTCTTCACAGATATTGTTAATTCAGGAACACTAACACTGTCTGATACACTGGGCTTTGGTTTTGATGTCTGATTTTGGCATCCTTGATCACACTGTTGAATCACTATACATAACATTTCAAACATTTTTTTGATTTTCTTATAATGCATGCCATTTTTACAATTCAACATAATCCACTTGAGAATCTGAAAATAAAGTATATTTTTAAAACAAATAGTTGGAAACAATACCAGCCAACCAAACATGGAGTCATGAAAATAAGTTTGACTCATAGAAACTCTATGAGGAAGACTAGACTTGCTCAATTGGGATTCCAAGCATGTAAATCTTCATGGAAGCAGACTCTCACACCTTCTCCCCTGGAAAAGCTAGTAGTCTGAACTACTGATAGTGAGATTGGCAGCTGAGCACGTACGCAGCACACTGTCAAAAGCAGTATGAGTATTTTTGATCCAAACTCATATTTCCATATAGCCCGATTTACTCTAAAAGTTTTCTATTAGTACCTCCCATTCAACTTATTAGAGACTTGCTTTGAGTCTCTCAGTCTCACTAATTAGTTTTCTTACTTAATTCTTTCCTTTGGGAGAAAACAAATCAACATTTCATCTGTGACAAAAGTTTATGTTCAACATATACTCTCAAAATATTTTGTGTTTTCCTTTAAAAATGAGTACTCCATCTATAGCTGTGTATATGTATATATGTGTGTGTATATATATATCTATATGTTTTAGCCTACTCATTAGGAGCACAAATGAAAGAAGAAAAGAAACTATCTACAGAGTTAATACTGGAACAAAGCCACAGCCTCATGGACACCGTGACCATAAGGGTTATGTGGCGGCCAGCTACTATTAGCAAACATTCCCAACGAGGCCACAGAAGGTGGCTTTTTACAGAGTGGGAGAAAAATGCTGAACAAAACTCAAACTCTTAAAAAGTCCAAACTTACAAGACCAGTTGAGACGGGAGGACTCCCTGAACCTAACACCCTCAAATACTCTTTAAACCTTAAGCTGAAACTAACCTGTGAGGGTCCCAAAGTCAAAGCTACCCCCTGTGAGTATGGGAAACCGTTCAGAAAACATCCATCCGAGACAAGCATTCAACAAGAAACTCAAAGCAATGAAGAGCAGCGATGAGGGCAGTGAACTGGACGTGGAACAACTACAATGCAATTAGTGATAATGCTGACGCGTTGTCAAAAATATAACTGATATCCTTGAACAATCTGTGTCTAAATTCTCAAATGGAATTTAATATACCATGCAAACTTTCACTGGAAACAGTAAAATATTTTTTAATTAATTGAATTTGAATACAATAATTTAGGTATGCTTGTACAGAAAATATTAAAATCAATCAGTTGCAGTGATCACTAAGGTAAAACAGCTACACATTGAACTGATTACTTTGGGCAGGTTATAGATCCTTGCCTTAGCTTACATTAACTGTAAAAGAGGGATCTGGATTTATCTGCAAGGTCCTTTAGACTAAGAATCTTTCACTGATGTGTATTTCAAGGTCCAGTATGAACATATTTATATTTTCAATATCCACAGATTTAGCTATCATTTGTGGGTAATTAAGGATTTTTTTAAACTTTGATTTCTGGAGCATGCATTTTGAAATATGTCAGTTAAATGAGGTAGTGCTTTTGTAATCCTTTTGTAATCACAGGAAACACATCTGTAAAGAACAGCATGGAAGCCTTGTTTCATGAAGATCGCGATAAAGGAAGTAGGGATACATTCAAGTAAGTTACTTTCTGAATACGTTCTACCCTGTTTTGATATGCAATGCAATTCTTTCAAACACTTATTGTGTCAGCAAAGGATTTCTATTATTTTATTTTATCACCGAATATAAAGACAAAAGGCCTGTGGTCCTAAGTGAAGTGAGGTTTGGGTTAAACTGAGTTTAAAATATATATTTGACTCCATTTGATTTGTCTGCCACTTTTCATTTAAAGAGATCAAAGATAATTCCCACTCATTTGTTAGCTTAGCTGTTCCTGTATCCCTGGGAAGTAGACCAATCAGACTCAATGGTATCAGAGATGGCCAAACAGAAAAGAAAAAAGAAAAATATCAGACAAAGAGAGATTCTTTTAGATAACACAGTGCATAGCTAAAATTCCGATCTACCTGGGGAATAAGGGTTTACACTACTTCATAACCAAGAATGAACACTTCTCAGCACTTGAAGATAGAAACATTATACCAAGACATGTACTTTACATGTATGCTCTTCATTCATTTACATACTTATTCCAACTGAGAATCTGTAATGCCTTTATCACTATTTTTAAATCCAAATACGAAGTCTTTTAGAACTGTTAACCTCCAATATTACAGAGCCAAGCAATGTCAAAGCGGGAATCTGAACCTAAACCTACTTGTGAGGTATCTACACTACTCAATATTGCCTGCACATCCTATAGAGTGGTCTATTTATATGCCACATATGGGCTCATTCTTAGTGTTATACTTATGTGATCACTTATGTTTATACCAGTGATTTCTTAAGACTAATCCCTACATTTGGTTATTAAATGAAAAAAGCACCCAATTTTAGGATAAATCCATTTTTTTAAAGGATATACTGAAAGGACCTTTTTTAGCCACTTCAAAGCCAGCAGGCCTATAGCATGCTTGAAAACCAAAAAGACTCCTTGAAAGAATAAATTTAGAACCTAAGTCTGTATGTATGTGATGACATCAACGTCACTATAAATGAGCA